TGGGGACAAAAAATGATAGGTGGAACATTAATTTTTATGTTTAATGATAACAAACAAAGCACATGAATATTAGTACACACTAATGACGTTAATTTAAGAATATTTGAGGTTTGTGGCGTAAAACATACTTTAGCGAAAAGTTGTGCTTGCATATATGTAGCGATTAATGTGTTTATTTCAAAAAATGTGTATATAGTTGTATACAAGTACTTATTGAACATATTTTCTCTTTAATAATAATAGAAGAGATAACAAAAATCAGCTTTCACAATTTTTTATTTTAATTAATTTGTCATAACTCGAAAATTATAAGCCAACATGATTTTAGCTTAGTGATGTGATGATCTAAATCAAGGAGCAAAGCAGGCACAAGCGAGAGGCGCTCCTTTTCCAGGTTCAAGACACTTTCCTCCACTCTTGTATCCAATTTTTATGCAAGTTCCATTGCAGTCTGGGAACTGAGAGCATGGCCCTTGAATCACCAACCAACTGTTTTCTTCACAACTCACTGAAATTCACACAATCATTCAAAAATCACCATAAATTTACTCGATACATTATTTCTAATCGATGAATTATCGAAAACAGTGTGAGCGTTTGCACGTATTTGTGTACAATAAATTGAGAAATGAAATTACCAGATGTAAAGAGCAAAGCCATGCAAATTATTCCAATGAAGAGAGACGTTCGAACGGATGAAATTTTCTTGTTTTCCATTGTATAGAGACTAGAATTGACGAGACTTCTCTTGTATGAAAAACTGAATGAATGAAAAGACTTACACCCATATATTTATAATAAATTTCTTTGCCTAAGGAGTCCCTTTTACGGTAATAATTATATAATTGAAAAGATTATAGTATAATCTTGACCGTAATTACTAATTATTAGAATTTATTGCGTATTGTCTCTTTATTAGGTAGAGTATAAATTCACGTCTTATTAATTGAAATTCATTAAAATATTATGGATATTTTAATGAATTTCAATAAATCTATGTGTCTCCTTAACTCGTGAATTTATAAGGATTCGCTAATAAATGAATTAAATTTAAATAAATCTCAAGCTTAAGATACCTAACAAACTTCTTTTAATTTCAATATTTTTAATGAAATTCTATAGAAATTTATTCAAAGTGTGTGAAATTCATTAAAGTCCATTAAAATTTCAGTTAATTATTTCCACCTAATTACAACGCAGGTTTCAATTACATTAAATTAGTGATCATGCAATAATTATTAATTTTGTTATTATAGAAAAGCTATCCTCATTTCTTTTATATGATATCAATCAATGCATAGTAATATATTACACATAAACCAACCTTGTGAGGTTGCTCAATTGGTCAGATTTTGGATTTGCAGGCCACTGAGATGAGTGCCCTATCGTAAATTTCAGGGCACCGTAAAATTAGTTGAGGTACGCGCAAGTTGGCTCAAACATTTACGATTATATATAAAAAAAAAATGTTACACATAAATCTAAGAAATTTTCCTTCTTTTTTAATCAATCATTCTCCAATAAATTATTATTTCTCTCATTATAATGTGGAATAATGAGGCCGAACGAGGATACTTTCTGGAGTAGTATAGGCTAACGAAGCATACGGATCATAAATGCAAATTACCAAGCATCCATCGAAAAATCTGCCCAGAGATGCGATGCAGTCGTGTTTTTTAGTTTATGTTTAATGTAACAAAACACACGAATATTATTATATTATTAATGATTTTAGTTGGGGAATATTTGTGGTTTGTATTGCGAAAATTTGTGCTTGCATATACGTATCAATTGGTGCGTTTATTTTAAAATGTTCGGAACTCATCAAAGCACTTATGTCACTCTCAATGTTTAGAGTGTGTTTGATAGAGAATTTTGGAGGAAGAATTGATTTTTGAATAGTGATATGATGAGAAATGTGTGGTTGTAAAAGAAGAAAAAAGTATTGATGTGATGGAAAATATTATTTTATTGAAGAATGTGTGGTTGAAAATGAGAATTGATTTATTGTAAAAAATGAGAATCTGTACCAAACAGGCTCTTAAATAGTTGCATACAAGTACTTATTGAATGTATTTTATCTTTATTAATATATAAATAAAAAGGAAAACACAACGAAAAACAGCTTTGACGATTTCGTACTCACTAACCAATTCCTCTTTGTGTTCATCTTCCACAACTTTCTAAAAATCTACCTAAATATCTCCAACTCTCCCAGTCAATCACTGATCCATATTCATCGCCCCGACTTCTGCCCCTATTCTCCACAGCCGAAGCATCTAACTGTGAAGAGGAACCATGTGTCTTTCTTCTCATCTCTTCATTCAAAACACTAGTTTTGGCTAAATCCATTGAGATCACACCATCTAGGATTGAGTTAAAACAGTGACATTCTAAACATTCCCCAAGAATCCGACAAAGTATTGAGGAGCATACAATTGCTCGAGCTTATTGAGTTAAAATAGTGACATTCTAAACATTTCCCAAGAATCCGACAAAGTATTGAGGAGCATATAATTGCTCGAGCTTACTGTTGAAAAAAATGAGTATATAGCTCACTTTGGCATGATTTTGAGTGGGACCCGTTTGACTATTTTGGAAAATCAATGTTGATTTGTGTTATCCTCTGTGTGTACATCGAAATCATATATTTACTTGCCAAAATTGATGTTCGGGTGAATAAGAAATTTAAGCTCATAGTATGTCACTTAAAAATAGTTTATATTGATGAAAAACTAAAAAAAAAAAATATGTTTGTACCACATAGGAAGTGGATGAAAACTAAAACCAAATATAAAAAATTACACTTTAAAATGTTGTAATCATGTATAGCATAAAAACTCTCTCCACGTGCGCACACAAGGAAATGCAAATCATGGATTGAAATGAGTTTTGAACCTTGAACTTGTGTGTGGGCGCAAATACATTTTTTATTTTTCAACTGACTTTTCATTTTCTGAAACTCCTGTGATAATTGCCATGAAATGCATGACAAGTTACAAGATCCAAGTCTATATATATCTCAATTTTTTCCAATTTTCTACATACCAATTTCATATGAAAATTCATCAGAATACAGTTCGAGTTTGTCTTCATTCTCTGTTTCTATTTCAGTCTTAGTGTTCAGATGCTATTGTTCTACAGTTGTATCTTGAAAAGAAGACGCTCAAATCATATCTAATCTATTATAATATGAAAAAGGGTATGTGTAAATATAGTGTTTAAGCATACTGCATATACGGTACTCAACCTGCAAATTCGGTATCCATTCTGCATATATGGTATCTAAGCTGTAAATCCGATATCCATTTTACATACATGGTATCTAAACTGTAAATCCGATGTTTAGTGTGTATATCCGGTATCCAGTGTGTAAAACCAATATCTAAATACTTGAAACACTTGTCTAACATTTACTCCATAAATTAATGGCATTAATGCATACACATAAACGAAGGATATGTTCCAATAGTAATGACAGTAAGAAGACTCATAACAACAATGGACATGAAAAAGAGGTGAGAGCCCTCGTTGGTCACTGACACATCTATACTTAAAGGCTTATTTTTTCACTAAAACTCTTCATAGCAAGGGCAGTAACATATATTGTGGAGTATCAAATGATCTACAAGAGAGCAATTGGATGCCAGGCAAACTTTTGACAACGTAAATAACGTAGGAGTATCAGTCCATTTTTGTGTAAGTTCATGAAATGACTAGTATTAATCATGCATATTCGGATAGACCAATTTTGCCACATGGAGATTTCATCTTTCGTGAATGATCACTGTTATAACTAGAACCCAAGGGTTCAATACGCAAATGAGATGTACAAGTTCTTGAAAAATCAAGAAAAACAATAATGGCCAAAAAAGATCGAGATTATCATCACATATAGAGTCCTTCTGGAACACCTTCTTTCTTCTTGAACATAACCTTGTCTTTCGCCTTCTTAAAATCTGCATGCGTCACCTGAACAAGAGTAACAGATGTTGTCAATATCAACAAATGGGCGTATGTCTCATTTATTGACACCAGGGCCCAATCAATAATACCAGATGAGTTTATATATATATATAAGTCCGAACGTAAAGTTAATAATAAACCTAAACATTGCAATATAGGCACAAAGGACGTGACCCATTTTTTATGAATTCGAAAGTTCAGAATCACTCCTGAAATAAAATATTCAGGGCATTCAAACAAATTGAAGACTAGGAAAACCCAATTTCCTCTCTTAATCTATGTCAACCTCCCTCTACCATGTTTCCTCACTCCTCTAGACCTTTTCACTATGCCCATTTGCCAGTGGAATTAGCTAAACCTATTGCTGTGCATCATTTATTTTTCTATACCAGCTGCTCATCACACAAAGGACGACCATATTACAAATCTCAATTGTAAAGCTAAATTGAGAGTACTAATATTTTAACTGATCATGCCTATCCTCTTGAGAGCTATAATTTACAACTTTTATCAGAATGTCGGTACTCTCACCTTCATACGACGCTCTCTTAAAGCAAGCAATCCAGCTTCAGTACAAATTGCCTTGATATCAGCTCCAGAAAACTCATCTTTTGTCATAACAAATTCTTCTAGGTTAACATCATCAGCCAGTGTCATCCTCGATGTGTGTATCTACATATTAAAGGAGAAGTTTAGCAAATCAAGTGGACCATCATTAAAAAACGTTGCACTGGGATGATCTGATGAAATCTCCTTTGATGTGTACAAACAGCTGTGCACCTGGAAAATACGCCTCCTAGTCTTAATATCTGGAAGAGGGAATTCAATCTTCCGGTCTATTCTACCAGGTCGAAGCAGAGCAGGATCAAGACTTTCAATTTTATTTGTTGCAAGAATCACTTTAACATCTCCTCTTGAATCAAAACCATCTAATTGGTTCAGCAGCTCCAGCATAGTCCTCTGAATTTCACGTTCACCACCTGAGTGGGCATCATACCTGTAGATAGCGTTCGCCCAATAAAAAATATCCATAACAGTACCATTTCCAGGCTAATAACGTTCAGGAGAGTACCTTTTCGTACCAACTGCATCAATTTCATCAACAAAGACAATAGATGGGGAGAGATCATCAGCAACTCTAAAGAGTTCCCTCACCAACTTAGGACCATCTCCAAGGTATTTCTGGATCAATTCACTTCCAACTACACGCAAGAAAGTTGCAGATGTAGAGTTTGCAACAGCCTGAAGAACATTAAAGTGAAAGGTTTATAAACTACGAAACTTTTACATTAAAACATTTTCAGATAATCACATGGCAAAAATCATATGAAATGCAATGACTTAATTAAACCCATAGGAAGCCATGTCAGATGCACCATTGATAAAACCAGACATCAACATTAATGTCTGACACTATCATGGTTGTCTTCTTCCGTGCATAAATTCCATATCATTAATCAAATCCAGATACAAACTTAAAGTTTGCAACTGCCTGGAGAACATTATGAGAGAGGTTTACAAACCAATAATATTTTCAGATAGTCACATATCAAAGTCTAAGGACCTAATCATACCCATGGGAATGGGTATTCCTCATAATTGCTCCTTAAGAAGCAGCAGAACCCTGGAAATTAGGATCTCAAAATGTAGCAACACCTATGATGCTAGGAATAATAGACTTTCATCACGATGTCTTTTACTTTCCTTAATTCTTATTTTTGTTTTCGTAACAATCAAGTCCAGATACAAACTTACAATATTTAATATTATGACAAGCAGAGATGAGAAGAAAATCTCAATTAGTTCTGAACTCTATCACTAACAGCATTTCCCGTCTCAGAAAAAATATAATTACTAGAGTTGAGGAATAAAATCTTTTCCCCCGTGTCCTGCCCCCTGGCTACTATCGAGGATGAGTTAAGTTTACATACAAATGTTAGATGCTCAGGATAAAGCCAATGTTAGCATAAAGCATTATATGTATCACGGAAGGCATGTCAAATTTACAAATACATATGCTCGGTGTGGAATTCTGTATAGAAGTAGAAGTATACAAACCTTTGCAAGCAATGTTTTTCCAGTTCCAGGCTCTCCATACAGTATGACCCCCTTTGGAGGCTTAATACCAATGTCCTCATATAATTCGGGGTGAGTCAATGGGAGCTCAACAGCCTCTTTAATCTCCTGGATCTGGGCATCTAACCCACCAATGTCAGCATAAGATTCCAATGGAGCCTTCTCGACCTTCATTACAGAAACCATGGGGTCGACATCATCTTGAAGAAGTCCAACGACAGAAAGAACCTGAAACAAGTTAAAGTTCCTTTGGAAAGTACAATATACAAAATTCATTGATAAACCAGAATCATGGTTAGGCCTACCCCTTTCTCTCCCTTCACTTTTTCTTTCTTTCTTTCTTTTATTTATTTATTTTGAGTGGGGAGGGGGCATCTTCTTCTCAAGGCATCCTTATTTCATGCCAGGCGAACGCTTATAAATTTCTTGAATGCATAAATGTTATCGACATTTCTTCAAGGTGATAAAAACACAGTTGCATATAGTACAAAAATACAAAAAAAATTATAAAATAATACAAAAATACAAAAAAATCAAAGTTGGAACATATAGTATATAAGATATATAGTCATTAGCATATTGAGATATAGTCCACCTAAAGAAAGAAGATGTTTAGCAAAAAAAAAAAAAAGCATTACAGAAGTTAGAAATCACTCCATTTGCAATGGAAAAAAGAAGCATCTTAAACAAAAAAAAAGCCTAATAGTCTGCACTATCATCACTATTACTAGCATCGTTAATGGAATCATCATCATATCTAATTTCTCCATCATCTTCCTCTTTACTACTCTCAATTTCTACAAAAGGCAGCAGTGAGACGCGCCTTGAGGCGTGCGCTTCAGATTTAGAGGTGTGAGCCTCATATTTTTAGCCTAAAAAATATCGTCTCGAGGCATACTACATGTGCCTCACAGTGAGGCGGGCCTCACTACCGCCTTTTTAAACCATGGTTGCATCTTTGCCACAAAATGCAAAACTATGAAGACCACATGTCTAACCTTCTGCAAAACTTCCCCCATCATTATCCAACCTGAAAACTTTCCTGTTCCTAGTTAGGGGATTGAATAGAAGAAACGTGAGTATGTAATGCAGATAAGAGAAAGGGCATCTACTTGATTTAAAAATTAAAATGCATGTGTACTAGAATCAAGGCTTTACCCAAAATATCATGACAATAAAAAATCAGAAAAGTATTTAAGACAGACAAAAAGGTCAATAATAAAGTAACATAGATCTTGGAAAATTAAAATGTGAAATCATTTGCAACAGTATGAATTTTGCCTGGCAAGATCACACGAAAACCGATGCAATCATTAACACATGAAGTCGTGCTTCCAAATAGAAATAGATTTTGTAAAAGAAATTAGTAAAATTGAACTAGGTAACTACAAATAATTTTTTAAAGCAAGTTGCAGAAGAACTTGCATACACATATCACACTAATATTATGTTACCTAATAGCATCCAAAATCTACCAGCATATACACACATTACATGTGAACTTGGTCAATAAATTGACCCTCAAACTCCTATTAATATGGTATATTTTTAATGCAAGCCAAGAAAAATTGATACAGAAGAAATAAACTAAATATGCACTGTGTTAATTGAAGGGAAAACCAGCAAAAACCTACAAATTTACCAAATAACTCAAGGTCATTCTCATCCATCAAAAAACGCAAGGAAAATGCCACCAAATACCATTTGAAGCTTTCTTAACCCACTGCTGAACCTTATAAGCATACCACACTTCTATCTAAATTTTGTCCAAATACCATTGTGACAAATTCTTAAAAAATGCAAAGTCAATCTACTAATCATGTGAAGCACCAAGCAGAAGT